TTTTGTGCCTGAAATCATGGGAATTGTTAAATTTTAAGTGATTTATTTCTGGTGAGAGTTTCTCTTATGTATTTGCGACAGAACAGTAAGAATGGATTACTTTGTAACTAAAGCCTAACCTTGAATCTGTCTTGAATACTGAGGCTCAATCTCATTGGAAAAGAGGAGAAAGGGGAAATTATTTCGCATGATTTCTGATTTAAAAAAAACCCGGCCAGATGTGGTGAGGTACACCTTTGATCCCAGCACTTGGGAAGCAGAGACAAGCAGATCTCTGGGAGTTCAAGGCCAACCAGGGCTACAGGGAGACCCTGTCTCAAAAAATAAGCAAAAGCCCAACTAAATTTCAGTGTTTCAAAGCAAATTTTATTTCTTCTTTTGTTTCTTTCTCTTCCCTTCTTTCCCTTCCCTCCTCTCCCCCATCTTCCTCCACCTTTCCCCTTCCTTCCTCTCTTCCTCTCTCTGCTTGGAGTTGAATCTAGAACATTGTTAATGCAAAACATCTGCTCTTCCACTAAGCCATACCCCAGCCCCTCAGAAATTAGTTTAGCTCTGTGCATAGATAAATGCCTAATAATGAGTCATTGTAGCAGATCTACAGATGTTAGTGTTAGTATTACAGTCACATTTCTTTTTCCAACAGGACCATGACCGCAGGGTTCGAGAAGCTACACAGCAAGCCTTTGAAAAACTTATCCTTAAAGTAAAGAAACATTTGGCTCCCTACTTGAAAAGTGTAATGGGATATTGGCTAATGGCTCAGTGTGATACATACACACCAGCTGCACTTGCAGCAAAAGATGCATTTGAAGCTGCTTTCCCTCCAATCAAGCAACCTGAAGCCATAGCATTTTGTAAGGATGAAATTACAAATGTGAGTTTTTGGAGTAATTTTGTCTGTTCATTCATTCATTTATTGATAATTAATTCATTTATTTGTTTTGCACATGACTGTATTGCCTGCATGTTGTATAAGTACACCTGGATCATGCAGTGCCCAAGGAGGAGGTCAGAAGAGGGCATTGGATTTGGACTCATTTTGTACTTAAGTTTAGGTAACGTGTCTGAAGGTTCTAAGGCATGTTATACACAGTAGCTCTTTTACTCCAAGTGTGTCAGGACGAAGCAAACTTTTGTCCTCTGTTCTTACATCATAATCAATATAAAAAAGATTTCTGTAACCTCTTTAAAAAGGTGTACAGGTGTGCCAGTGAGATGACTCAGTGTATAAAATCACAGTGCAAGCCTGACACCTGAGTTCAATCACCGGAACCCAGATGAAGGTGGAAAGAGAACTGACTCCACAGAGTTGTTTGTTGTAGAGGGGATATGAAAATAAAGGTCAAAATATCAGCATTATGAGTACCATAGTTTCTATGAGTTCTTTGTCATACCATTGGATTCTGCCATTAATTTAGGTTTATGACCTTGGGCAAACTTCATTTCCTCACTGGAGGAATTAATTTGTACTTCATGAAGTTACAAGGATTAATCAATATTATCTGTAAACCATGCTGAAAGCATTACCTGGTATGTGGAAAAGCTCAATAGATGCCAGCTGTTGTTATTGCTGATTAAGTTGGTACTGGAACAGTGGATTTCCTAATACTATACCTCAGAAGTAGGCAGCATTGTCCAACGGTTAAAAACCTCAGCTTTCCTTTTTGATGGAGTGGAGTACAGAATATGTTCTCTGTGATCCACATGGTCAGAAAGATGGGAAAGGAAGGCAAAGCTTAATTTCTTTCCCATATTTATTAGCTGATTAGTCCATTGGTACTGCTGTATGTAAGAATAATAATGAACAAATCGCCAGAAGTATTTAGCAGGAAATTTCTCTTGATGAGAATTGAAACTGTGGGGTAGTACCCTATCCTAACCACAGTAGCCAGCCTTGGGATTGATTGGAGGAAAGAAATGGGTGAAATTCAAACCTGTTAGTTTTGCTAGTAGATAGGATAAGGATGAGAGCACTGGCATTGTACAGCATGGGTTTTACTTACTGATATCTGTTCATCAGTGACAGTTCAATAAAGTCTCAAGGCTTTGTTGTTGTTTCTTTAGGTACTACAGGATCATCTTCTAAAAGAAACAGCTGATACTCTTAGTGACCCTCAGTAAGTTATATTGTTTCTAAGTAACACAGGTTTAAATTTTTAATTTACTCCTTGGTAGCCAGGAATAAATATAGTGTGGCATTTTCTAAAAAGGAGGAATTCTAAGTACAGATGAAAGTTCCTTTTAAAAATCTTTATTATTTTTATTTTATGTGAGTGTAATGCCTGCATGTAGGTAGGTGTACCTGTGTTGTGCAATGCTTGAGGAGGTCAGAAGAAGGCATTGGATCCCCCTGGAACTGGAGTTACAGATGGTTGTTAGCTGCCATGTGGGTGCTGGGAATTGGACCTGAGTCTTCTGCAAGAGCAGCCAGTGTTTTTAACCTGAGTCATCTCTCCAGCCCCCAGACAAAAATTCTTTAATAATACATGACTTAGGCTCTATTATATGCCTTTACTTGAAAAGTTGACTTGCTATTTACCTTGAATTTTCCAAGTTCTGTATTTAGTTCTATTAGAAAAATATATTTAGATGTTCCCTTACTCACATTTACCTTTTGACTTCACAGCAGGAACTAGAACTATTTTAAGGTCTGGCATAGTTGAAGAAATTAAGTAGTTCTGTCAGAAGCATAGTAAAATGTTTTGATTACATTTACTGTTATATTCTAATCAGACTTTTTTTTTTTTTTTTTCGGTCTTTTTGAGACAGGGTCTCCCTGTAGTCCCAGCTGTCCTGGAACTCACTATGTAGACCAAGCTGGCCTCAAACTCACAGAGATCTGCCTGCCTCTGCCTCCCGAGAGCTGGGATTAAAGGCATGTGCCACCACGCCTGGCTCTAACCAAACTTTTAAGATGGCATCAAGGAAGGTAATCAGAGATGTCATACTGACATTACTAGAATCTGCCTAGTGTGTGCTCCCGAGTCTGCACCAGTCTGTTCACCTACTCCATGCCATGGCTTTTTGTTTGCTTTCACATTGCATTAGTTGTAAAATATGTGATTACAAATCTCTGTGAGCCAGTGAGATGGCTCAGTGGATAAACACACTTGTGCCAAACCTGATGTGACCAGAGTTTGATCTCTAGGACTCACGTGGCAGGAGAGAACCAGTTCCTCCAAGTTGTTCTATGACCTTGACATGCATGTCATGTCACTCAAGGGCACACACAATAGATGTAGTAAAAAGTTTTCTGTATCTTTGTGGGGTCTCTCCCTTCCCTTGTGGGTCATTGGCCACCGGTCCACGAGGACAAAGGGAGCAGAAGCAACCAACAGGGTCAGGATGGCCAGTGAGCACTGACGGAAGAAAGCCCTTCTGGGGAGGCAGGTTCAGTGATACAAACAGCTCCAGACTCAGTGAAACAGCTCTGTTTATTCAGTGGGGGTTAGGAAAAATACAGTGTGGAGGCAGTAGCCAATGCTTTAGCTGATAGGTGCTCATAGTATGCTTTATTTACATGTGGCAGTAGGCTCCTATCATCTGACTATTGGGCAATGCCTAATTATCATATAGAAAAAACCTGGGGGTAGTTTTTACTCCAGGTAACTATGCCAAAGGTCATGTTCCAAATAAGGTCAGGCATCCTTGCTTGGCGGCACTTTCCAGGTAAGTCAGGCAGAGAGGAGGAGGCCCCCTGCTGAGAAGGGGAGTCCTTCCATATAGTGCCGAGCCCCTTAGAGCTACCCAGACATGGAGGACTACAACCCTAGCAGCAGGGTTCCCCAACATGTCTTCATATTTTGAAAGGTGTTTGCAGAAGGGGAAAGGGATAGTAAAATAAAGTAACTGACAGAAGTTTAATCATAAAACATTTAATGAAGAATTGCCAAATGTGTAGTTTGGCTTTTTAAACTTAACCTATTTTTTTTTTCAAATCAAGAACTGTTCCAGAGGAAGAGAGAGAAGCTAAATTTCATCGAGTTGTAACTTGTTCCTTATTGGCATTAAAGAAAATGCTTTGCCTCTTACCTAATAATGAACTTGATTCTTTGGAGGAGAAATTTAAGTCACTTTTATCACAGAATAAATTTTGGAAGTATGGAAAACACAGTATACCTCAGGTATCTCAATCTTTTCTATTTTAAGGCATTTTTTTTTCTATAATTTTCCCACTTGGTCTTAACTATATTTATACTATGTTTATTGTTTATATTAAAATTCTGTAAGTAGATCTTTGAGGGTCTTCATTTAGAACTTACTTGTCTCTTACTAGAATGTTTCTTAACTCTATTTTTATTTCTTGTTACTGTGAGTTGAACCCAAGCATGTTCTTTATCAGCTTTATATTTTCATTATTTATTTATTTTTTTGGTCTTTTTGAGACAGGGTGTCTCTGTAGTCCCAGCTGGCTTCAAATTCACTATGTAGACCAGCCTGGCCTCAAACTCACAGAGATCCTCTCTGCCTGCCTCTCTGCCTCCGAGTGCTGGGATTAAAGGCGTGCACCACCATGCCCACCTGTATTCTCATTTTTTAAAATTTAGTTTGGGTCTTGGTTTTAGAGTAAATTATATTACTTTATTTGTGGCAACTTAAAATTATTGCTGTATGCAAGGCTCTTATTTAGTGTTCTTAATTTTTCTCTTTGGTCCAGTGCCTTTTTGCCTACTCTCTGACATTCTGTATAGACCATTTTCATTATCCAGGAATCGTTATGTTCTATAGTATCAGCATAAAAACTGAATTAGTGAATACTGCAGCATTGTTCTTAGTGAGCAATTCAGTCACAACTGCTTTTCAGGTAATATATAACATTGATTTTATGTGTTCATGTTTAAAATGGTCCATTAGCGCTGGAGAGATGTCTCTGTAGTTAAGAGCACTGATGGCTCTTGCAGAGGACCTGGGTTCGATTCCAAGGACCCACATGGTGGCTAACAACCGTCTGTAACTCTAGTTCCAGGAAATCTGATGCCCTCTTCGACCTCTGTGGGCATTGCAAGACATGGGTGGGCTTGTATACATGCAGGCAATAAATACACTCATACACATAAAATAAAATAATAAAATATTTAAAAATGATTCATTAACAGCTGGGCTACAGGGAGGCCCTGTCTCAAAAAAACACAAAAAAAGGTACATGAAGCTTGTGCCCAGAAGCACTGCAACTCATGCCTGAATCAATCAACTTAAACTTTTTTTCATGTATCAGACAAATTGTTTTTGTTTATTCTTTCAAAGTTTTTTTTTTTGGGAAGCTTTAGGACAGTTTTATTCAAATTTAAAGAAAATCCTCAGAGAAGGCAAGCTGTAAATGTCAGCAGCTGCCCTTAAGGGGAGAATGGAGGGGAGAAGGAAAAAAGCCAGAGCCATGCTGGTTTAGAGCCCGAATTGTGGTCAGACACATGGTGGACTAGCAGCCACTTGGCAGGGAGGGGAAAGGCGCTTCAGAGAAAAAGTAAAGTACAAGATGTTGGGGCAACCCAGAGTGTTAGAGAAAGCATGGTTGTAAAAGAGGTAGAAGGAAGAAAAGGAGAGTTAGGCTTTTCTGAAGAATTCAGAAAAGCGGGAAGACTTTGAGAGAGCCGTATGTCTGTGGCCCAGTCCAGAAGCCCTGCCAAGAAACTTTGTGGTGCTGGGTGTTAAATCCAGAGCCTAGTGCGTGCTAGAAAAGCGTTCTAGCACTTGACTCCGTTCTCAGCCCTTCTCACAGTCTCATTGAGGCACACCCGAGCCTTGCACTTCAGTGCTACGCTTGAAGGATGCTTAAAACTTGAAAATCACTAATCAGAAGCACAGTATTTTAGAAAAATGTGCTAAGGAGGCTATGAAAAGGACACTTGTTTACAGATGAAAGCTGCTTCTCTGTTTTCCTTTAGATTTTCCCACATACTTGTTGCTTTTCTCTCAGAAGGTGTTTTTTACTTGGTTCCATTCTTCTTCTAAAACAGGTGCAGTCTTACCACATGCCAGTTATTTTTGTTTTGAAGATATCATTCTACTGCTTATGATTTAATTATTGCTGCCAAGGTCAGCCATCAGTCTGGCTGTTCTGTTTATCTGTTTCTCTGGCTACTCTAAGATCTACTCTGTAGGTTTCCTCAGTTGTTCTAGAATGTATCATAGTGTGGATTTTCTTCTCTGCAGTCGTGTATATTAAGATATATTGGACTTCTTGAATGTGTGGATTGGAATATTTAATTGGCTCTGTAAAAGTCTCAGATATTGTCTCCAGATATTTTCTTTGCTTCATTCTTTCTTTTCCTTTTGTAATTAGTTATATATTAAGCTTTTTATTGTCTTCTGTGTCTCATGTATTTTTCATACTTCTCTCTATATTCTGCTTTGTGGATAGTTTGTTTTACTTTAGCTTCCTCTTCACTGATTCAGTCTTGTATTTGTGTTTAATCTGCTTGTTTTGGTCTAGGCATCCTGCCCAATTAAAATACCTTAGGCTGGGTATTTCTATTATAAATAATAGAAATATATGTCTCAGAGTTGTGGAGGCTGATTATGATAAAGGTTCTAGCAGACCTTCTGCTGAGGGATTTGTCTTTAAAAAAATTTTTTTTGTCTGCTTCAAAGCTGAATCTTACCCAGCATCCACATGTTGGAAAGGTTTTTTTTTTTCCTCCTAAGGTAATTTTCCCTAGAGATTTCTTTAAAATTTAGTTTATTATTATTTATTTATTATTTTAATTTTGTGTGTATATGTGTATTGCCTGCATGCTTGTAAGTGCATCCGTATCATGCAGTGCATGTGGAGGACAAAGGAGGGGGTTGGATCTCCTGGAACTGGAGTTATGGTTGTTATCTGCCATGTGGGTGGCTGGGATTCAAACCCCAGTCTTCTGCAAGAACAGCCAGTGTTCTTAACCACTGAGCCATCTCTCCAGCCCCAAATTTAGTTTATTATATGCACTGTTTAAGGTGTTCATTTGTGATTATATTTTGTATTGCCATGCTTGCTTTTTTTCCCGCTCATTGTGGCTCATATTGTCTAATTTTATATTTGTTTGGCTATATGAGATTCCCAAATGAATGGTTCTGCTATTAAATAGGATTTCTGTTAAAATTTTATTCTCTGCCTTCATTTTGCCTTGGTAATTCTTAAAATGTCTTTTTAGTCATTTATTAAAACTTTAAGATTTAAAAAATTACTTTTATAGTGCTTTTAGTTATGTTAGCAGGAAGATTAGTGTGAGTCATCTGCTGTCTTAAATAGCTTTACCAAACTTCACTAGATTTTATTTTAATTCAGCTTTGCTGCTTCTTTTAGATCCGCTCAGCATATTTTGAGTTAGTTTCTGCTTTGTGCCAGCACATTCCCCAGCTGATGAAAGATGAAGCCTCCAAAGTGAGCCCATCCGTTCTACTTAGCATTGATGACAGCGACCCTATTGTCTGCCCAGCTCTCTGGGAAGCTGTACTCTATACACTTACAACTATTGAGGTATGTAAGAGAGGCATACTTAGCACATTTGGGACTACTTCTCTTCCTACTTGTGTTTTATATCCCTTAAGTACTATTTGAGGAACTGGAGATGATTAAGAGCACTTGCTATTCTTCTTGAGGACCCAGGTTCAGTTCCCAGCACCCACATGGTGGTGAACATCTTACTACCATTCGGGATGATCCTACACCTTCTTCATTGTATATGCACATGGTGTACTTACATATATGCAGGCAAAACATTCATACACATAAAAAAGTGTGAGAGAGACCATCACTTTGTGTATTAGTCACTTTTCTGTTGCTGTGATAGAAACACTGACCCAAGCAATTTATAGAAGGAAGAGTTTATTTGAGCTTACGGTTCCAGGGAAATTACAGTCTGTTATGGCCGGGAGGCATGGTGGCTGGAGGAGGATGGAGCAGGAGCCAGCAGAAGTGAAGTTCTCACATCATCATGCAGGCACAGGAAGCAAGAGAGTGACTGGAGATCCTGCAAGGCTTAAGAACTTTCTAAGCCCACCCCCAGTGATATGCTTCCTCCAGCATAGCCACACCTTCTAAAACCTCCCAAAACAGTGCCATCATCTGGGGACAAAATGTCCAAATACTTGGAGCCTATGGGGGACATTTTCATTCAAACCATCACACTTTGTAATATCTAAAACTTACTGGAAAAATGCTTTCCAAATTTACTAAAAATACCATGGAACACCATAAATTTTGTCCTCCATTCATCCTTCCCTCCCTCCCTTTGTTTTCTTTTTTCCTTTCTTCCTTTTCTTTAACTTTGAAATGTTTACTTACTTTCCCACATCACAATTTTAAAATCTCTCCAGGAGAGCACAGCAATATGGAGTGATTATGGCGTCTTGTAGAAAACTAAAGTCTTTGGTCACAGTGTGTATGGGTTTTGCCTTAATTTAACTTTGTGGCTAGTATTATCTTTAAGCTTTAGTCTTTATGCTGCAGAAAATGTTTCTGTGTAAGTACTGCCTGCTACTGATTGCACCCTCCTACAGAAAGTATTTCTGAATAAAAAATACATTTTTCTTTTCTAAGATTTATTTTTCCTTTATTTTTAATTTTTTTGATTTATATATGTGCATGTTTGGTTTTTTAAATTTTTTTCAGTTTATTTTATATGTATGCATGTTTGCCTGCATGTATATGTAAGTATGCCAATGCCTGTGGAGGCCAGAAGGGGTCCTTGGGTCTCCTGGAACTGGACTTAAGGATGATTGGTAGCTGCTATGTGAGTGCTGGGAACTGAACCCACGTCCTCTACTAGAGTAGCCAGTGCTCTTAACCATTGAGCTGACTCTTCGGTCCTAATTTATTTTTATTTTGTGTGTTGAGTGTTTTGACTGCATGTATGTAAATGCATCTGTGTCATGTAATGCCCACAGAGAGCAGAAGAGGGCGTTGAACTTACAGATTGTTGTTAGCCACCATGTGGGAACTGAACCAGAGCCTCTGGAAGAGCATCCAGTGCTCTTAATTCCTGAGCCATCTCTCCAGGCCCATGTTTGTTTCTTTAAGAATGCACTCTATGGAAATGCTTTAAATGATTTTTTTCCTATAAGCATATCAAATATGTGATTATTAAATTTTTTTTTTTTTTTGTCTTTCTGAGACAGGGTCTCCCTGTAGCCCCAGCTGACATGGAACTCACTGTGTAGACCAGGCTGACCTCAAACTCAGAGATCTGTCTGCCTCTGTCTCCCAAGTGCTGAGTGAGAGTAAAGGTGTGTGCCCCCATGCCCAGCTGTGATTATTAATTGTGATACATTATAATTTGAGAGTTTTAATGTTGGTGAGAGATTTTAATGCCTTTAGGTACAATATTGTCTCAAAAACAACACTTGACTATTTTTTATTTTAAAATTTTATTAATTTTTCTTTGGAGACAGGGTCTTATGTAGCAGTCCTGTGTTACCTCACAAGTGCTGGGCTTACAGGTGTGTGCTATCATTTCCAGCTTGATTTTCTTTTTTTTGTTTTTGTTTTTGTCTCCTTGTAGCCACAACCGAGCTCAATCTCACAGAGATCCCCTTGCCTCTGCCTCCTGGGTGCTGGGATTAAAGGGATGCACTACCACTCAGCTTGATTTTCATTTTTGAGAGGGTATATGATTTGTTTTTTCTTAGTTGAGAAATGTTCTTTTATGTTCTTTATTGTAATCTTTTCTTTGGTTAGGACTGTTGGCTTCATGTAAATGCAAGAAAAAGTGTTTTTCCCAAGCTGACGGCTGTGGTTCGTGAAGGTGGCCGGGGCCTGGCTACTGTCATACACCCTTACCTTCTGCCGTTCATCAGCAAACTCCCTCAGTCTATTATGGAGCCAAAGCTGGATTTCTTCAAACATTTTCTCAACTCTCTAGTTGCAGGGTAAGCAATTAAATTGTTTGAGTTTTTTTTTTTTAATTTTATTTATTTATTTTTTATGTGTATGTGTGTATTGCCTGCATGTAAGTAAGTGCACCCATGTCATGCAATGCCCACAGAGGTCAGAAGAGGCAGTTGGAGCCCCTGGGACTGGAGTTACAGACAGTTCCTAGCTGCCATGTGGGTGCTGGGACTCAAACCTGGGTCTTCTGTAAGAACAACCAGTGTTCTTAACCGCTGAGCCATTTCTCCAGCCCCAAGAATCGAAGTTTTAAAAAGTCTTCCTTTATGTGATGCCTTTTTAATATCTTTTGTGATTTTGAGTTCTTATTTTTTTTTCCTTGAAAGAATAATTGAGTTATTATTTCTTAGGCTATCAACAGAGAGAACCAAAATCAGCGTTTCGGAGTGCTCAGCAGTGATATCTGCATTTTTTGAATGCTTACGTTTTATAATGCAGCAAAACTTAGGTGAAGAAGAGATGGAACAGATGCTTGTCAATGACCAGGTACTCTGAAATACCCATGCCTTTGTGCACTGACTGTAAAGAATTGAGTTCATTGTGCCTGATTGCCATTTTTGGTAGTTAGCCTTCTATGTAAAGATCTCATTTTTATAATTTACACATTGAATAATGTAAATTTCTCACCATATAAGTAAAAAAGTCTGTACTTTGAGTTGCTAGAGTAGTATCCTAATGCTGAGAATCTGTCCTTAGACTAATTCAATCCATCCAGTCTCTGTACTTAAATCTGTGGCAGCTCTAAAGAGATTGCAGAACAGAATTTGGATGGTGGTATTGGAGATGTTTTGTATTACATTTAAAATATTTATTTTTATTTTATGTGTAGGGGTGTGTGTGTGTGTGTGTGTGTGTGTGTATGAATAACACACATATGGCATTCAGATCCCTTGGAGTTGGAGTTACAGGTAGTTGTAAGCTGCCTGATAAGGGTGCTGGGAATGGACTTGGGTCTTCTGGAAGAGCAGTGAATGCTCTTAACCTCTGAGGCATCTCTCCAGCACCAGCCCATAGTATTATGTTGAAATTATTCTATATTGTTAGTTCTAAAGTGCTCAGATGCACTTACTCTTTTATGAGCAGTTGTGTTTGGATTTTAGAGCTAGGATAAGAGCAGGCTCTAAGATTATAGAAGAACAATTTTTAGCTAATATATATATTTTAAAATTTTATGTAACCCTGGCTGGCCTGGTACCTTGCTATGTAGGCCAGGGGCCTTGAACTCAGAGATCTGCCTGCCTCTATCTACATCCGCCTCCATAGTGCTGGCATTAAAGGCGTGTGCCACCACACCGACTTCCCCTTTTGTTTTGAATCAAGGTCTTTCTTTAACTTGGAACACACTGTTTTGACTAGTCTTCATGGCCAACTAGCTCTAGGGATCTGTCTCTGTCTTCCCAGCACTGAGATTACAAGAGTGTACAACCAGCCTAGCTCTTTTTTTTTTTTTTAAACTTGGATTCTGGGGACTGAGCTAAGGTCCTCTTGCTTGCATGGCAGGTACTTTACTGACTGAGCTCTCTATTCCCCAATCTTCAAGTAGGAAATTTTATAGTGTTTATACCCTGGTTAAACTTTCTTGGAAACTGAGGTTTTATATTTTTTACCCTCTCTTTCAGTTGATCCCTTTAATTGATACAGTGCTCAAAGACCCAGGATTACAACATGGGCCGCTATTTAACCATTTAGCAGAAACACTAAGTTCTTGGGAAGCCAAAGCAAACATAGAAAAAGATGAGGAAACCATTTACAACTTGGAGAATGTACTTTTAAATTTCTGGGAAAGACTGTCAGAGATCTGTATTGAGAAAATCAACAAGGCAGAAGCTGATGTTAAGTCTGTTTTGAGTGTGTCTAACCTACTACAGGTCCTTCAGAAGACAAAAGACTCACTGAAGTCAAATAAAAAAAAGAACGGCAAGGTTAGATTTGCTGACGAGACCCCTGAAGAAGATGGAAAGACACTGAAAGAGAATGGAAAGTGTATGTTCTCAGGAGAGCACAGCGAAGGCTCCGAAGAGCTGACGGAATCTCCTCTCATTGATAATTCTTCAAACCTTGACCTTGTGTCTCCTTTAAGGAAGAAACCTTTGGAAGACCTAGTCTGCAAGCTTGCAGAGATGAGCATTAGTTACGTCAATGAACACAAGTCAGAGCAACACCTACAATTTCTTTCTACACTGCTTGACTCCTTCTCTTCAGGCCAAGTATTTCAAGTGCTCCTTGGTGATGAAAAAAAGGATATTGTCAAAGCCAAATCACTTGAAATAACCAAACTTGCACAAAAAAATCCTGCGGTACAGTTTTTGTATCATAAGCTGATAAACTGGCTAAATGAAAGTCAAAAGGAAGATGCTGGTTTCCTGGCGGATATCTTGTATAGCGTCCTCCGTTGCTGTGACACTGACCTGGAAAGGAAAGATGTCTTGGAAGATCTAACCAAGGTATTACCATTGTGCGTCTTTTAAAATTGGTTTAGTGAGGCTGGGCGTGGTGGCACATGCCTTTAATCCCAGCAGAGGCAGGGATCTCTGTAAGTTTGAAGCCAGACTAGTCTACATAATGAGTTCCAGGCCAGCTGGGACTACAGGGAGACCCTGTCCCAAAAAGTGAAAAAAAAAAAAAAAATACCATTTTAGTGATACATGGCAAGAGTAAGCCTGTATGGGTGCTGTTTCTGGATTATTTTCTTGACTGAACGTCAGTTTAAAGACAAGCACCATGTTCTTGACTGACAAGCACCATGTTCTTGACTGATGTGAGAAGTCCCCATCAATTCCTGACAGAAGGTTGTAACAAGTGACCAATTGAAAATGTTGCAGTTTTGTTTTGGTTATATGAGAACTTTTTGTTTTTAAAGTTTTTCTATTCATCTTTCATTCTGTCTTTCTTTTTTCAGGAGGACCTGAAATGGAGTTCTCTTCTTCAGATCATTGAAAAGGTATTTTAGGGATTTTTTTTTTTCTTTTTCCATTTTTGTATGTATGGATATAGAAAAATTAAAACCAAAGTCTTATTTTCACTGCCTGTGGGCAGATGTCTGTTAGAGTCATCTTTACTACTGTAACTTTCTTCTAATTTTCAAAATCGTGTTATATTTCTCATTCGGAATATTAGGAAAACAGGCTCTGGAGAGTCCAGTGTTTCTTAGAAAGCAATGAAAGAAGAGTTAAACATTTTGTTATATTCTCATTGAGGCTGCAGGTTTCTACTCTCTGATCTGTAAAAGTAAATTGGATGGTTCTAGTTCTGACTAGAGCATTAGGAAATAGTTTTCCCTACTTGGAAAACTGTAGGACATGAAAATATTCCAGCTTTTGTATCATTTGCCGTTGATTAAATAAGAAAACCATTGATGAAAGTAATAAGAAATCAAAGTATCTAATTTAGAAGTTTTTTTTTTTTTTTTTTTACTTTTTGGGACAGGGTCTCCCTGTAGCCCCAGCTGTCCTGGAACTCACTATGTAGACCAGGCTGGCCTCAAACTCACAAAGATCTGCCTGCCTCTACCTCCCAAGTGCTGGGATTAAAGGTGTGCGCCACCACGCCCGGCCTAATGTAGAAGTTTTAAAAATGGCTTCAGTATTCCAAATGACAATTTAAGCGATATAACTGGGTTTTCCAACTATAGGCAATGTATAACTACCTAAAAGTCTTCTTTTTTAAAGCATATTGCATTACCTTTTCTAATTTTGTGGATTGTTCTTGATGTTTCTCTTCTTTTCAAATTATAATAAAAACACAACAGTTTGGTGTTTAATCCACACCTTTAATCGCAGCACTTGGGGCACAGAGACAGACAAATCTCTGAGTTAAGACCAGCCTTGTCTACATAGAAAGTTCTAGGCCAGCTAGGGCTACATAGTGAGATGTCTCACCTCTTCCCCCCAAAGCCCCCCAAAACACATAAAATTTACTATCCTAATAATTTTTCTTCTTTTTGCTATACTGAGGATTGAACCCAAGGCATCACACATGCTAAGCAAACACAAGTACTCCTGAGCTATGCCTCAGTTCCATCCAACTGTATCTAAATGTATGGTTCAGTAATGATAAGTATATTCACATTGTTTGTTCAGTCCCCCAAATTTTCTTATTTTGTAAAGTTCAACTATGGTTTGGAGTGTAGCTCAGAGGTATGCTTAAGACGCTAGCACCACAGAAAATTAAAAAGCAAACTTCTGAAGCTGTGTTCTAAATGAAAATTCCCAATTTGGGCAATTGTTTCCTTTTACGGAGTATTCATTGAGAAGTATACCATAGTGGGCACACATCTGCATTGTGTGTCTGGTGCTGTCTCCTGTAGGCAGGCTGCATAAAAGGCCAGATGAGCTGCTGATCCAGTACAGGCCCTGCAATGGCTTAGCAGGTTCTATGCATGCCACAGAACCCGAGGACTGGAGTTTGATCCCCAGGATCCACGTGCTGGATGGAAAAAACTGGCTCCCACAAATGTCCTCTGACTTCCACCATGGCATGCATGCCCACATACATCTATATACAACAAATGAATGTAGTTTCTAAAACTTAAGAGAAGGGGGTTGGAGAGATGACTCAGTGGTTATCAGCACTAGCTGCTCTTGCAGAGGACCTAGGTTAAGTTCCCAGAACCCACATGGTAGCTAACAATTCTGGCCTCTGTAGGCATTGCATGTAACATGGTGCACTTATATCCATGCAAGCAAAACTCTCATATACATAAAGTGAAAATCTTAAAAAAATCCTTGGGGGTTGAAGGCTGCATCTGGGAGGACATTGGGGGTTGATTGTGATCAAAATGCAACGTATAAATGTATGAAATTTTTGAAGAATTAATAAAAATATTTTAAAAAGAGGGAAAAAGAAGAGTAGCCCTATTCCATTTGAACCTACAACTAAATGCTTGGGTAGTCCAGACGCTTGTACCTGTTTCGAGGACCATTTTTCTAGGCAGTGTTTATAAACTGTCGTCTCCTGGGTTTCCATGGCTCCCTAGCTGCCCTGTCTCCTAGTTGCACAGATTCTTTCATGAGCTATGTTAATGTATTGAGGCATTAACCTTCATGTCTCACTAATTTGAGAGACATTTTATTCAGACGTTTTATTTTCTCTACCAGGACACTACAGAAGGGATTCATTTGGCAACCTACATTAGGAAAGTAGAATAGCCATGCATAGAGTGGTTTTCTTGTTTTATGGAACATAATTCTTTATGAGCAGAGCCCTAAAGTCTGTTTGAAAACAGTACAGACCTGGAAATGGGCCTTATGGTTTCTGTAGGTTAATCCTTTCAGTTTAGAAGTTAAGAAATAGATTTTTCCAAAATCCTCAGCCTAGCTTAATGATAAGGCTTAGATTGAAATACAAGCTCTGAGTACCTATAATTTTTCAAAAATGAAAACAACTTTTTAGGCACTACCCAATCTGCACTTGGATTTTTTTTTTTTCCAGATTGCTTTGAAATGAACCAAGTTGCAAATTCCTTTCTTCTCAGCCCTAAAGCAAAAGAAGCTCCTGGAACATGGATCAGCTTGCTTTCGGGGTGGATTTACAAGTGTTTTTCTCTCGCTTCCCCACGCAATGAAAATAAAAAAGTTACTCTTAGATGCTTGGCCCCATTTCAGAGAATTGGGAATAATAAGCCCCATTATTCATAACTTACCATTATACATTGATTGTTCTTTAATTTTATAAAAATTAATGAACAAAAGTATAATATTAATAGACCATCTACAACTCTGTCTTCAGAATTCATTAATTTATTACCCATATCTTCAGTGTTGGTAGCATGTATCAAAGAAGTTTTAAGACAGTCCCTGCTTGCAAGGAGTTTACAGTCTCATTGGAAAGACAAGACACACAGAGATGAAACATTTAATAATAATGCCATCCAGCAAGTGCTTTAGAAAACCAGAGAGAAGCAGTGATCATTGTGGGCTAGAGTGGGTGGGGAGAGTTTGTAAAAACAGGTGGGATTTGTACTGATTTTCCAAGAATAGATGGGATTTTGTTAAGAGGGACTATGTGTGGGTGGCAGGGTAGCATGAGCCAAGCACAGGGGTGAGGACAGCCAGAGGAGAAGGAGTGGAGCGGGGGAGCTGGGCCCACATGAAGGAGTTAATATGGCACAAGTTATGATTTGGACACATCCTTTGATTTTGCTTCTAATCTTTTAATTTTGTGGTTTTTTAGGCATGTTCTAGTTCAGATAAACATGCTTTAGTAACCCGTTGGCTAAAAGGCAGTGTTCTTGGAGAGAAATTGGTTGCCTTGACAGACTGTCTCTGTAATATCGATTTGGAATCCACAGTGTCTTCAGAATCTTACTTCTCGGGACAATGGACTCTTCTAAGTTTGGCCTTATCACAACATGTTAAAAATGGTAGGAAAATAGGACTTTTTTTTTTTTTCTAGTAGGGGATAGTAATTCTTTTCACCTTTTGAGGGGAAATTTCATGCTTCTCATTTTAAATGTTATTCGTTGAGATAATAAGAGTTATCTTAGTTTTGTGTAAGTACTCTAAATATCAGTCTAAATGGTATAACTTGGAAGATATGTAATTTTTAAAAGGCTTTGAATATAATATACCTGCTTACTCTTAAATTTTGTATGTCATTCCTGGGTTTTTTTAAATTGCCTTTTTTTAAAAAAAACTTGAAGGCTTTTACATGTTAGGGGACAGATTGGTTTGTGTGTGTGTGTGTATATATATATGTATATAGCCTTTTTTTTTTTTTTGGTCTAATATATACATGGCTTAAGAAAGCAAAAATAAAACCAAACTAAAAACATGGTGGCACATGCCTTTAATCCCAGCAGAGGCAGGTGGATGTCTGTGAGTTCCAGGCCAGCCTGGTCTACATAGTGAGTTCCAGGCCAATGGAGGCTACAGGGAGTCACTGTCTCAAAAAGACCAAAACAAAAAAAAAACAACAACAAAAAAACCCAAAAAAGCCCCAGATCTATATGGTTACTAGCCCAAGGTAAGGCATTCAAAGATACATTGTTAATATTTTTTGGTTTTTGTCTGTTTGGATTTTTTTTTTTCTCTAGATTACTTGATTGGAGAAGTATATGTTGAAAGAATTGTTGTTAAGCTTCATGAAACTTTATCCAAAACAAAGGACTTGTCAGAAGCTGAAAATAGTGCCTCGTCAGTGTCTTTTGTCTGTGATGTGGTCCATAGCTATTTCAGCTCCACAAAAGGATGCTTGCTAGTGCCATCATCTGAAGATTTGTTATTAACTCTCTTTCAGTTATGTGCTCAGAGCAAAGAAAAAACACACATGCCAGGTAATAGCCTACTGCTCAAATGTTTTGTTGGGAATCTCCGGCTCTGACCTTCATAGTGAGTGTAAGTGCCCAGGCTTTATTAATTGAATCATAATGTGTTTGTTAGTTTAAAGAATGTTGAGAAAATAGCTTCTGTCATGTATTTCTGCTTCAGAAACGAAAATTATACAGAGATGTATTATTATATATAAAATAAAAGAGATGTTAAACAAATATGTGTACTTGTGTGTGTTTCTATGTTTTTCTGTTGGGGGGGTTCTGTGTATATGTGTGTGTGTTTCTGTGTGTGTGAGTATGTAAGAGTGTGTGGGCGTGAGTGTGTGTGTGTGTGTGTGTGTGTGTGCGCGCGCATGCGCGCGCGCTTGCCTGAGCGCGTTCCGTGGGTGCGTGTGTGGAGGTCAGAGGATAACTTGAGAATGAGTCAGCTCTCTTCTTCCATAACTTGGGTCCCAGGGATCAAACTCAGGTTATCAGACTTTTATCTGCTGAGACATTTTGCTGGCCTGGTACAACAAAATGAAATTGTGTTTGTCTTATAAGGACTACATTCTTGCCCTGTGTGTTCATTCAAGTTTATTTAGGAAAGGAACATAAATACTATTGATGGGAGAGCCCTCTTCCCCTAATCCTTTTTTTTTTTTGTTTGTTTGTTTTTTGTTTGAGATGGTTTCACTATCACCCCAGCTGATCTGGAACTTGATATATAGACCAGGCTGGCCTCAGTCTCACAGAGATCCATCTGCCTCTGCCTCTTCCTCCTGAGTGCTGGGATTAAAGGCATGCACCACCATGCCTTTAATACTGTCTTTTCTTTAATACTGTCTTTTCTGTTTAGAAAAGGTATTTTTTATTTGTACCCACCTCTATTAGTCGCTTTTCTTTTGCTGTGATAGAAACAGCATGAAGAAGGGAACTTATGAAAGGAAGAGTTTATTTAGCTTATGGTTCCAAACGATAAGAGTCAGTTGGTCGTGGTGGGGAGGCATGGCAGTAGAGGTAGCTGGAGGAGGAGCAGAAGCTAAGCGCTCACATATTCAAGCTGGTACAGGAAACGAGAGCTACTCGAGATCCAGTTTAAGAACCCTCTAAGCCTGCCTCCAGTGATGTGCTTCCTTGCGAATGGCCACACCTTCAAAGGCCTCCCAAAACAGCACCACCAACTGGGGACAAAAATGTCCAAATACTTGGAGCCTATGGGGGACATTCTCTTTCAAACTACCACACCACCTAAAGGACAGTGTCCTTTGGTAAAGAAGTTCAGAATGGGGGAAAATAAACCCAACAGTTCTTGTTACTGTGGTACAGGGCAGATTGTCTTTTGCATGAGTATGGCAGTTACTTTCTTTTGGCAATTAGAATTAAATTTTGTGTTTTCTTTATAAAATTACATCTTAAAGATCTCAGATGTGTTATGAATTTTTTTGAGATTTTTTTTGTACTGGTTAGAATTAATCAAGTTATATTTCAAATTGCTGCTGATACCTTGATTTTTAGATTTTCTGATCTGTAAACTGAAAAGTACTTGGCTCTCCGGTGTAAATTTGTTGGTCCATCAAACTGACAGTACACATAAGCAGAGTACCTTCCTACGCTTGTCTGTTCTGTGGCTGAAGGACCAGGTTCAGTCTTCATCTTTGGATAATACAAGGTACCTTTTATTTTTCCCTACTCAGTTGCAGTGTCCCTTTTATACCTAATGGTTGTACTTAAATAAGGTCCCATTTTGGCTGTGTGGTGCATGCCTATAATCCTAGCAGTCATGAGGATCACAAGTTTGAGGCCAGCCTGGGCTATATATAGTCTTAAAAAAAAAAGTCCACGATTAGTTTGAGTGCAGTTTTTGCAAGAAGTTTCCATCTCTGTGAATGCTCCGAATTTTTCAAATAACATTTTGTTTTAATGATATTCATTAACCAGTTGAACAATGATTTATCTGTTAGACCAAGAGGCTAGTCAGTGATGTGATGGTGGTATTGTGTTGATTGTAAGTTGTAAACCATGACCAGCATACACACCAGTTATTCTTGGTGGTTCATTTTTAAGATGCTGGATTATGAGCATTTCCATAAAACGACCATGGAAGCTGTGTATATAGAGACTTTGGGGTGGGTCAAATAGTCACACTCTAATCTTTAAATTACAAAGGATAATTTACATTACCTTACATTGAATAAGGTAATTCTGTGTCAGATATGTGTGATCTGAGAGTGTTATTTGCTACATTCTGAGATAGTGGAAGCATTACTCAGTTTCACATCATAGATATTAGATGAACCCCCCAGTTTGACTGTCTTGGTTGTGACTTGGGTTGGGAGGACACTTCCCTCTCTTTCTGTGTTCAGTGTGCTCCTGCTATCTTAGGATATTTTATGCTGAACCCAGTCATAGAAGAACTATAGTAGTTCTTGGTATTTTCAGCCTGCAGGTCCTCTTGGCTGCTGTTGATGATTTGCTGAGTATACTTGTAGAGAGTGAAGATACTGCTCTTCCTGGAGTTTATATTGGAAGTGTAATGCCCAGTGACAGTGACTGGGAAAAGATGAGACAGTCTCTTCCTATTCAGGTTTGTGTGAGTTTGGAAAGTGCATGTCTCATTCTGAGGTTTGGGTTTCATGCAGGCTTGAATATTTTTATCCTGGAGAAGAAGAAAAGTAAATGAGTTTCTTGTTTGATTTTATGTCTCTGAACATTAATATCAGATATTTGGTGTTCACAAAACACCATTTCACACTGGTATCAGTCTCATGTACAGATGAATAAGATCTAATTCTGTCCTTAAGGAATCTTAAATAATGCCTAACTTCTAGGTTACTAAAATTTTATTAATAAACCGCATGGTCTAATAACTTCATTTTAACAAAGTGAACTGAGTGAATACAATGAACAAAGTTTTGAATTCTATGAATAATAAATAATGTAGACTATAATGAATTTGCATATAATGTAATGTATTCTTTTACAGTGGTTACACAGACCTCTTTTAGAGGGAAGATTGAGTTTAAATTATGAATGCTTCAAAACTGATTTTAAGGAACAAGATGCAAAGACGCTTCCTAGCCATTTGTGTACTTCAGCGTTATTGAGCAAAATGATCTTAGTTGCACTAAAAAAGAAAATAGTCCTAGAAAACAATGTTGTTGAGAAAATAAGTAAGTATTTACAAGGATTTAGATAATATAATGCACAACTAAATATAACTTAAAATTTGGATTTATGTATTCTGAAATCTTGCTATATTCTTGTTTGCTGTTCAGCATAATTTGGTATAAAATCAGTTATTCAGACTGGCATAACATCAGCGTAAGGAGGTCCACTGTCACTCCAAAGAGAATGGGTATGCTTGGGATTGATCAAGGATTCTGATTTTCTTTTGGTTTGTCAATGTCTATACCTTTGAACACATAGGGCTCTAATTATTTTACTGGCAAGTAAATGTTCAAATATTGAATCTTAAGCCTTAGGACTCCAGCAAATTTTTCCATTCTTAGGATTGTAGATATGTCCTATTCAATGGTATTAAAGATAGAACATTTGCATAAATATGAGAGAAATGTAAATGTGAGAGAATGCATGCTCTGGAAAGAATAAAGGTGAAACACATCTTTTGGGTCCGAAAGAGCAGCAATCTAACCCCACCCCTTTTTTTTTTGAGACAATTTTATCCTGCCTTAGCCTACCAAGTTTGGAGATATTCAGTCATGGTCGTCTTTTCCTATTTATTGTTTTTAAATTATTTTAGTGCATGTGTTTCTCTCTCTCTCTCTCTCTCTCTCTCTCTCTCTCTCGTGTGTGTGTGTGTGTGTGTGTGTGTGTGTGTGTGCCCACAGAGGCCAGAAGAGTTCGTTAGATCCTGTGGAGCTAGGGTTAGAGGCATTTGTGAACTACCTGACATGGGTGCAGGGATCTGAATTGTGTCCTCTGGAAGAACAGCAAGTCTCTTTATTGCTCAGCCATCTTGCCAGCACTTGTTTGTTTCTTTGAGGTAGGGTCTTAACTGTGTAGCCCTCACTGGCCTGGAACTTACTAGGTAGACCAGGATGGCCTCAAACTCAAAGTGATCCACCTGCATCTGTCTCTCAAGTTGCTGACATTACAGGTGTGAGCTACTATGTCCAGCTAAGGAATATTTAGTTTTCTTGTCAACTCTGAAACTCTGTCATTGAATGTTGAACTTGGCACTAATTTAACTTGTTAAGGAAGGATCAGATTGCAATACTTCTGACACCATGATCCACACATGATTTTATAGAGGAGAGCTTTGTTGATCTGATCTTGAAGTTTTGTGTTAAGACTCTTGGTCCTATAATTCTCACCATCCTATGAGGTGTGTCGTGGTATCCCAGTTGATCATATACATAAATAAATTTTAATCCAGGCCAGTCTGTTATTGAACCCATGTTAGCTTTCCTAGTTAGAATTTTTTGCATTTTTTCTGTTTGTTTTTGGTTTTAGAGACAGGGTCTCCCTGTAGTCCCATGTGGTCTGGAACTCATTGTGTAGACCAGGCTGGCCTCGACCTCATAGGCATCTGTCTACCATGCTCGGCTTAAGCATGCCATGTTGGCATGAAGTTCTCACCTGAGGTCTTGGGATCCCTTAGCTTTTTACATTTATGTAACTTCTTGCCAGTTGTACTAAAATAGTAGCTAGCTTCTTTCAAGTGTCTAGGAAACTAGGCCTCTGTGACACTTGAAGCACCAAGTAAGATTTGGGAGAGGAGTGATATTTGTTTTGAGATGGGGTCTCTCCAAGTTACCCAAACTACTCTCAAATTCACAGTCCTGCCACCTTAGCCTTTAGCCTCTTTGGTACCTGGACTGTAGGTCCATGCCACTCTTACAGACAGAGGTGCTGTTTTGTGTCTGACAGCTGTTGTCAGTTTTCATCATTCTTTCACATCTTAAATCAGATTTGAAAATCAGTTGACAAATTTTTTTTTTTTTTCTTTGTGAGACAGGGTCTTCCTGTAGCCCCAGCTGGCCTGGAACTCATTATGTAGATCAGGCTGGGTGGATCGCACAGAGATCGCCTGCTTCTGCATCCCCAGTGCAGTGCTGGGATTAAAGGCGTATACCACTATCCCTGGCTAACAATTTTTTTTTTTTAATTATTTAATAACCACATGATTAGAGGCATTTCATTACAGCATTAACATATTCAGTAACAATTTCCAGAGCAAAGATGCTTCTCTTTCAAAATTAGCTGTAAATTTTGAGGTTCACAGTTAAATTAATACAGTTATACAATATTGAACTCAGCATAACCCTTATAAGACCACTTGAAG